GGTCATTCATGCGTAGCAAGGGTAGGGTTGGTGGTTTGGCCTCAAAATCTTAAACGGCTAGAACGTTCTTGGAATATGCCGGTGAACACGGTGTCATGGCCTGCCTCTTTGCAGCAGCTGTCGCTGGTACATTCCTTCAATCAGCCATTTACGGACGTCTTCTGGCCGGCCTCCCTGGAGCAACTGTTGTTTGGGGATGAATTCAATCAGCTAATCACGGACGTTGTGTGGCCGGCTTCCCTGGAGCAACTACTGTTTGGGGATGAAATCAATCAGCCAATCGCGGACGTTGTGTGGTCGGCCTCCCTGAAGGACTAAAGGCTAGGATCAAGCTTCAATCAGCCTATCGCGGACGTTGTGTGGCCGGCCTCCCTGCAGCTGCAATCTTTTGGCAACGAATTCAACCAGCGTATCGTCGGAGTCACGTGGCCGGCCTCACTGCAGCTGCTATCGTTTGGGGCTCATTTCAACAAGCCCATTGCCGGAGTCGTGTGGCCTGCCTCCCTGCAGCTGCTATTCTTTGGCAACAGATTAAACCAGCCTATCGACAACGTCGTGTGGCCAGCCTCCCTGAAGACGCTATGGTTTCGGTTCAGCCTTAACCAGCCCATCGACGGAACCATGAGGCCGTCCTCCTTGAAGAAGCTATCGTTTGGTGTTCGCTTCAACCAGCCCGTCCTTGGGACCATTTGGCCGGTCTCGCTGCAACACCTATCGTTCGGTTATCACTTCAACCAGCCCATTGCCGAAGTCGCGTGGCCGGTCTCCCTGCAGAAGCTAAATTTGGGTGTGTCCTTCAATCTGTCAATCACCGACGTTGTGTGACCGGCCTCCCTGAAGGATTTAAGGCTAGGATCAAGCTTCAATCAGCCTATCGCCGACGTCGTGTGGCCGACCTCCCTGCAAGAGCTTTGGTTGGGTTTTCACTGCAATAAGCTCATTGCCGATGTCGCCTGACCGGTATCCTTACAACACCTGTGGTTTGGGAATGCATTCAACCAACCTATTGTCGGAGTCGTGTGGCCGGGCTCCCTGCAGCGGCTATCGTTTGGGGATACCTTCAACCAACCTATGACGAAGTTGTATGACCGTTCTCACTGCAGTAGTGTTTATTCAGGCGTGGTTTCACGCGACCCTTGGACGGGGTGGTATGACCGGCCTCCATAAGCAGTATAGTTCGTGACAGAAGGTCTCTGCTTTCTTGAGGTACGCCTCCAGTTGTGTAGGGTCTCCTGGATAGCTGCGTTTCCCTGGCAGTGAGACTTCCAGAAAAGCCGAACACCGGCGATGGAGAACTGACGTGTGTGGTAGGCGGGGACAGGGGTATCCCGGGATTTGAATCGTTATCCAGGCAAGCAGATCCAGCTTAGAATGACCTATCGTCCAGGCCGTTCCACCTTTCAGAGACGTGGAGGTGCATGTTACAAGACGTGGGATGAGGGGTTGGATTAAACCTGGAGTGGAGCCCGGACACACCCCTTCGACCCCGGTAAGACATCTTCGCGTAGCGCGAGGAGTCGGGGGGCGGTACCGGGGGTGACGTACCCCTTCGATAGGGGCAGGAAGGGGAGTGGCAGCTCCGGCGGCGGCAACGGCGGCAGCAGCAGCAGCGACGGGAGTGGCGGCTTCGGCGAGAGAGCTCCGACGGCAGCAGCAGACGGCTCGGCGGCGGTGGCAGAGGCGGCAGCAGCGACGTCACCAACAGCCGCGTTGGCTCTGGAACTCATGACGGTCATGGCAGCGGGGGAACGGCAACGGCGGTGATGGCAACGCGGCAGCAGCGGCGACGACCTCACCTTATTACAGCCAAGTGGGAGAACATGTGAAACGTTTACGAGTTTGTTCGGTTTTGTGAGCAGACATGGGCGTTGTAGCTTCACCAATTGGCGCTTCGCATTTATTTATTTTTGTTCTGTTTTTCCTTTGCTGTAGCGCACCGTTCACTTCGATGCAGAAAACATGTGTACCACAGCATGTGCGAAATTGTTGTACTTGTTTTCATGATAACGGTACGCTGCGACAAGATAACAGCCACAACCCGTGGAATAGGAAGAAGCACGTGGGTATTTATATATTTATTTTTCTTTGGTTCTTGGTATATTTTCAGTCACGTTTTAGCTTGCAGCTGAATGCTTCATATTATGGCTGGATCAGTCGGTCTTCGTTTCTCATGGCTAGATCGTTCTACACGCGATTTCGGTACTCCGTATTCTGTGGAGAAAAATGCATTTTGTCGTCCTGAGTTGAGTGGTCGCTCTTTGCAATGTGTTTCTGGCCGCGCGCAAGAAATGGGATGATAGCGCGTTGTTTGACGTGCATGAAGGAATGCCGCTCAGGGAGCAGGGGGGCTTTTGGAGTTCCAGTTTATTTAGGGGACAGTTTGCCTACAGTACGAACTTTTTCTGGAGTGTGAGGCCATGTGTGTCATGTGTTTTCATGTTTTTTGTTTGTATCGCATGTTTTGCTGCTCTTGCATCCAAAACCATGGGGGGGGGTGTCATGTATGACCATGATTCCAGAGGACATGGGCAGCAATCGGTTTGGGTTGTTTTCTGGTCTTGTCTATATTTGTTTGTGCTTTGGTGAACGCCAAAGCGTGGGGGCCGTTGGCATCGAAATGTTAGCTTGGGGTGATTTTTTGGAGCTGACAGCAGGGGGGCTGTTTGCATGGATGCTTGCATATATTTTCTATCGTTTCTTGGACAACAGCGACGGTACCGACTAGCGGGTGCGCGCTGTTTAGGATTTGGTCCTTGGACACTATAGTGGAGGAATGATTTGACATGTTTTGACGATTGATGGTTGGGGCCATTGTGCTTTCCGAATTCTCGTTTTGTTTGGTCAAGACGTTGAGTTTTTTGTTTTGATTGAGGATTTGGTGCAAGTTGTTTTTCCCAGAAATGTACGTTTTCGTCCGACGCTTTCCTGACGTAGCATAAATAATTGTTGGGTACTTTCTGAGGATGATTCTTTTGTGGCAACGGTTTGAGATTATTTCCACAGACGAACGCTTTGGATTCGTGAACGAACTGATAAAGATGCTTTGTGTTGAATGCGCAGCCAGTTTTGTTGAGTAAATTTTCCCGAGGGGTGTTTTTCTGTGTTGGGTGATTACGCGTGAAGGGTTGCAAGATCGTACATCGTATCAAGTAGGAGGGCTGTTTGTGGTACTTGGATATGAGTTCGATCTGTGCATCCTCTGTGGGGGATACGCGTATGGGATGTATGTTATATATGCGGTTGGGGCCCAAGTGTGGCGACACGGTGGTGTGCTCCTGGCACGTGCCTGAGGGGCTTGCGTGTCGGATAAATAATACATGGTCATTTTCATCATCTGCTGTTCCTGGGATAACAGAGTACTACCCAGTCTCGACACCAGCCGCTGAGGGCGGCAGACCGCCTCGAACAAGCCTTTGCGAGGCAGGTGACGGGTGTGTGCCCCGACCTTGTCGTTGGCAACGTATCCCGGGAAGGGAGGCATTTCTCCATGTGCACGCGCAAAAAAACTCGCATCTCGATTTTCGAGCTTGTAAGTCCGATCACCATACTGAGAACGTCATCAATCATCAAGTTGTCGTGTGCGTACAAATTTCGGCGGAAAACTCCGCGTCGAAAGGCGGCACAGAGGTGTGCTCCGAACCTCTTACTGGCATTCTTACTACCGTAGGTTCACACACAATAATTCCTGTTGTAGATTGGACGGGGCTTCAATTTGATGGCGGCGCGGGTAGCCAACGTTTAGCACAACTTAATCTTAATTGGAGCAACTTCGTGCTGGGAGCACCTGCTGCGTGCTCGACTTTCGTCCTTGATAAGTCCGATCACAATACATAAAAAAAGTCGACAATCATCAAGTTGTTGTGCGCGTACAATTTTCGAGCGGAAACTCCGCGTCGAAAGGCGACAGCGGTGTGCTCTTAACCTCTGGTTGGCAGTGAAAATAGGTTCACACATAATCATTCCTTTTGTAGATTGGACGGAGCTCCAATTTGATGGCGGGTAGCCAACGTTTAGGCGGAAATTCATCGAGATCAGAGAAATTTGTGCTGTTTCGTGCCGGGAGCACCTGCTGCGTGCCCGTGTTTCGTGCTTGGTAAGACCATTCACCGACACCGCCGAACGTCAACGCAGGAGGCGCAAATCAAGCTGAAACTTGCAGAGGGCGTCTCAAGTAGTGCAGTACGGCCGATGATCTGATTCCTCGCGCCTCGGGCGTTCGGGTCAAAAAAGCGCGTGGTTCGGAGCTTCGGAGTGAACGGCGACAGACAGACAGACGGACAGGCAGTCAGACAGACAGACAGACGGACAGGCAGTCAGACAGACAGACAGACAGACAGACAGACAGACAGACAGACAGACAGACAGACAGACAGACAGACAGACAGACAGACAGACAGACAGACAGACAGACAGACAGACAGACAGACAGACAGACCTTGCTCTGTGGCGGAAATCTTAGCATAAGTTGATGTGGCCTCTCATTGGCCGTTTGCCGACGAGTATCCCCGTTGTGTACATGAGGTTCCGATGGGATCCGAAAGGAAAGCGAGGATGGTGGTACAATTATTCAGAAAAGGACTTCGTATTTTGTAAAGCTTATTCCCCGCAAGGCGGAGGGCGCTGTGTCCTCTTCATGGCCACGGCGATGGCGCTCCATTTGTCAGCGGTGGTTCGAGCCAAGCCGCGGTCGGCGCCGCGCCGCTCGCTTGTTGCGTTGCACGAAAATACGGTTGTTGGAACAACCCTGAAACGGCTGGAATGGTCCCCGGGACTGACTGCCGTGATTCCTCGAGACATACTTCGGAGTATCATACTTGCTGCACACCGACGCCTCCACAATTACAGCGAAGAGTACTTCACTACTGGCGCCAAGTTGATACGCTGCGCCACAAAGAAAAGCAAGCAGCTGTAGTCGCTACTGACTGCAACAACACGCCGCTACACTTAGTGTGCCTCATGCAAAAGAGGCGACATTCGGTTTAAGGGTCTCGGTCCCCTATCCACAAAGACAACGAGATATTCGCGCCCAAGCGTCGTAAAGTACTGTAGGACTTGAACCAATCAAACCTTGTGGATGTTGGTGGTGTTCTAACAACCCTGCATCTCGCCAACAACATACATTGCCCACCCTTTCCAAGACAAGATTAGTCGCTGAATGTACGCAACATAAAAACACTTCTCGGTCATGAGCGGTGTAGTAAACGCTGGGCACAAGAAGAGTAGCGGAAAAACATCATCGGCGGGAAGCCGAGATCAATAATGAGAATTGCGAGATTGTTACTATTATACACCGTCGACGTCACGAACCTGAGCTAGATGGCTACAGGCCGTTGCGCTTGACTCCATCTAGCTCATGGGGCCTCTTTGACTGTCTTGCCGATCGCGTTCTTCGCTGCTAACTCCATCGCGACCAGCTTCTTCAATCCCATCACACCTGCAACACGGAACAACAGTCGTTTCAGCATCACAGTAGTTTCAGGAGGCCTTCGCGCAATGTGTTGTAAAATGGTGCTCGGCTATACGATGCCCCAACTGTGCACGAACCTTTCCAGCAGGAGTTCCAGGTTGTTCCGGGTGCTGACTGTGTCTGGGTTATCTTCACCAAGCACCTTCGCACGGATCAAGAGGGCCCTCTCCAATAGCGGAATTGCCTCCATGTACTTCTCCTGTGGAAAGTTTGAGATGCAAGCTTCGTAAACCTACAGTGTTCTGGTGCGCAAAAGAATGCAAACGCGAGCAAGCCCTGCGTGAAACGGCCGATCATTCACCAAAACGGAACATCCCACCTGTCTGTGCTCTCGACGGAACCGGGTGCTGAGCGCTACAACAAGAGCACCCCAAGGATGTTTCCCCAAACCTATTGCGGCAGTCACCTGTGCTTTCAACAATGAAGCCCAGTTGTTGAGGTCTGTAGCTACCTCCCGATGGTCATCGCCATAATTTGCCTGGTCGATAGCCAGCGAGCGCTTACACAGTGCCTCCGCTTCTTCGCACTTGTCCTAAAATGTTCCGAAAAGGTGCAAAGCGTGTGTGGGCAGGCACGTCAGTACGGAGTACTCAGTGGTTGTTCGGCGCAACCAGACCCAAAGGTCACCACCACAATTTTCCTGGAGCATACTGACCATGTTTTGGATTGCGGCACCTTCCGGGTGATCGCGCCCTAAGGACATACCAGGCATCGTAAAATTTTTGCGTCCTCTTGTACGACGGCTCAGTTTGTTAATGATCGCGGCGCAAGAGAAGCAGTGAATCATCAAGAACCAGGTGGCAAAGTTCATCGACAAGAAAGTGTGAAAACCACAAAATTGCGGAGAACACATTCAGAAACAAGTGATCTCCCCCAGACTACAGATAACCCGCCCGCCTCCGACAAAACTTTTAAGTGGGTGTCACCTGGTCGCCCAACCGCTCACCCAGTGAAAAGGTTCACAGGGTACCACGGGAAGCTCTTGAGAACTGCTTACGATCTTTCCGCACTTGCGGAGCAAGGAAGCCCGGTAGTTGCCGCCTACGGCAGTCACTCACGGTGTTGTTCGGATTCGGTTGCACCCAGAATTTTCGGGAACCGACCGCGATATGAACGCGAGCTCAAAACTATCAACACGCTGCAGAGGAAAGAATGCTCGACTACCGGTTCAATAACCACTGCCCTGTTGTTGGGCGTTGTGGCCACACCCTGTGGCTCATCGCGGATATCTAGAACAGCGAAGGGCGAGTATTTCAACGGTAGAAGTTCACGAGCATCGTTCGGTTACTATATTATCGACAAGCACCAGAGTGCAGACGGTGCACCACTCCTGGAACTGTTTTTCCACAGGCGTTCACGCTATGCTGCAGGAATGCCCGCTCAGCTACTCACAACTACAATGCATGGAGGATCGCAGAGAGGAAAAATTAGCAAGTTCTGATGGACCTCACCTCACTCGTTCACAACCCCACCTCCACCCAGTTGTCAAGCGCAACCCGACCGATGGGTCACCACAGAAATCTATACAGAGCATCACCAGAACTTCCCTTCCGCTTCTTCAACGATGCGCTCAGAGGGGAGTACCACAACGGCCAACAGATCGCCACATGAAGACCGCTGACGAATTCTGATGAATCCCATTTGGCTCTTCTACAAGACCTCCGCCTACGCGCCAACGCCGCAAAATCTGCGGGCCGAAAAAAAAGTAAGGAGATCGCCACAACAACACCCAGAACAACTTTGGAATGGATCTCACCTGCGCTATCAATAATCCAACCCGGATGCGGAGCGTTGTTGTCAGGCTTGGGTGCTCAGGGCCTACATTCTTCTCGGCTAATGTCTGGCATCGCTCATAGAGTGGCTCGGCCTCGGTGTAATTGCCCTGAAATCCAAAGCCCGTAGCGCCGCAGACATGTTAGTCGAAGTCTGATTTACAACAACGAACGAGCATGTTGGGCAACCTCGCCCGCATATTGCGGCTTGCAGCAAGATCGGAGTGCTGGATAGGCGCCGTCATTTTTCTCCGTTTTCAACAGCATGAAAATAGAAGGCTGCTCTTTGCACCTGCCCTAGGATGTGTGGCAGAGCCGTGGCTCACGCAGGGAGTCAATTCTGTGATCGGATTACGAAGTAGGGCTTTCGCGTAGATGCCTGCACGTGGGATCGTCCAGAAACATCTTTAATCAACTCGAAAATATCGAAATATTCAGGAGCACCTAGCAACACTGTTACGTCTAGAACCCCCTCGAATCACCCCTTAGCATTGAAGCAATATTTTAAATCCGCGTACGCTTTCAATAGCTCGGCAGATGTTGAACATTACGAAAATGAAACTTGCACGACCCATGTTTCCCGCATCATTCCGATCACTCTCACCTGCTCCAACAAACACCTCGCTCGGTTGCTGAGCACTGTGGCAAGGTCGGGGTGGTCAGGGCCAAGTGTCCTCTCTCCGATCTCAATAGATCGAAGGTAAAGAGGGTCCGCGTCGGTGTGCTTACCCTGCAATGCCAGTGGATAGGGGGGTAAATTCGTATCATTGGCAGGGCCTGGCAAAGGACTGTGTCAATATCCAGATACCTACAAATTCTCGTAGCCCCTCGAAACACCCCAAAGCACCTAGCAGAACCAAGAACCACCATTAGACCGCAGAAGGTCTACTAGCTCTCGCAAGGATTCAAAATCATCGCTCTGTTCTCAGGTGCGATGTCAACAACCTCGTCCAGCTGAGCATCATCAAACGAAACATGCACCAACCCAAGTGTCCTGTAGTATTCTGATGGCTTGTACCTGCGCATACAATGTGCCGGCTAGGTCGCTGAGTCCAGTAGCAACTTGAGCATGGTCAGACCCCAGCGATGCCTCCCAGATCACAATCGCTCGCTCGTATAGAGGTTGAGCTTCCTCATACTTCCCCTGCCATGGAAGGAAAACGAGGGAAAGCAGCCAGGTCAAGACCCAAACTCGGCGGGGCGTCTTTCTCAACAAGCACAGCTGATGCCTGGAAGTGCCCAGGAGCCGCTTCTCCCACAGCAGAATAATCTAGAAGGATGTCGAAACATTGGTGTGTTTCATTGCCTCGTCAACAACCCCGCCAGGTTGCTGGCACGGACATTTCAATGAAGTGTCTCGCGGGCACTCGTGGAATGCTTTGAAACCGCCCGAACATATCTGGTGGTTGCGAACGTATTTCTCCAACAACGCCCAACAGGTGTTGCGCACTACAACGTCAGAAAACCGCTGGAAAAGTTTATTGGATCTATCCTGGCATGTTCACAACCACAACCCAACCTAGTCGTCAAGGACTACAACAAACACAGGTCACCATGAAAAGCGAACGAACCAACGCCAAAATTCCCTCGCAATTTGCTCATGACCCTTCTTCTGCTTCTCACACAACTCCTTGTTGTTCGGCACCACGTCCGATTGACCAACACGAGAAGATGTTTGAAAAACATCTCATGAATGCATATACTTCGTACATCACATGGCTCTGTCGCAGTCCCACTCTCACCCGGTTCGCCCAAAACCACAACGTCCACAGTTCACAATGAAAGTGACCGGGGCACCGCGAGAAGTTTCCTGGCAACATTCTCACGGTCCATACCTGCATCTCCGAAAACGCCGCCCGGTTGCTCAGCACTGCAGCAACCAGAGGACCACCACAAAAAACGACGCCGCTGTGAAAGTCTCGTGGTTCTCACCTTGGGTCTTCCACAGCCCTACCTCCATCGCGTTGTCAAGCGCCGCAAAACCCCCAGGCCAAGCCAAAACGTCAGCAGAACACCGCGAGCGCTTTCCTGGCACATTATCACGGCTCTCACCTGCATCTGCAGCAACCGCGCCCGGGTGTCGAGTGTTGTGGCCACGCTTGGGTGCTCAGGTCCCACACACTTCTCCTCTACTGTCTGGCATCGCTCATAGAGTTCCTCGGCCTGGGCGTACTTGCCCTGGAATTCAATAGTGGACATCGTGGGAAAGTCGTACCCCAGGTAAAGCCGGATCTATTTATTGTCAACAGCCCTTACTACCCGGTTGTCGAGCCCTGCAAAGAGATTGTCTTGGCCTGGGTACAACCTTCCATTTCGATCCAATACATTCGAGGTCAAGAGACGGGTTTAGAACTACTTTCTCCTAGAGTATTATAGAGCATCCAGAGGTTGCTGGGACCATCACGGGCCACCGTGGAGAATGTAGAATTGTGCAGGAGCGCCAGGAAACATCTACAAGCACCAAAAATATCAAGGAGAATCTTCAGATCGTAGAGGGCAAAAAGGATCTAGATACAAGGATCCGGAAGCATTTTTCGGGCATGACCCCTGCGCTATCGGCGACCTAACTACCTCCTGCCCACGAGAATACAAGCACTGTTATTCCTGGGACTTACCTGCTGGGATAACAACTCCGCCTGGTTAGAGAGCCCAACAGCAACTTGGGGGTGGTCACACCCGAGAGCGGCCTCCCAGATCCTGATCGCACGCTCGTACAGAGACTCGGCTTCCTCATACTTTCCCTGCAGTGTTGTATGATGAATAGCAATGCGACCAAGGCCAACATTCGGAACAACGTTTCTCAACAACTACCCCTCGGTTGGTATAGCTGACATCTGAAACTGTGGAAGAGCACCCCCTTCTAGAGTAGAATCATCCAAAAGGATGTCGACGCACCGTTCGGTCCTCACCTGATTCTTCAACAACCAATCCCAGCTGGCCGACATGAGAAGATAAAATCAATGCAGCATCGCGAGGAAATTCCTGCAACCTGTGGCGGCTGTTACCTCTCTTACGACGTTGCTCCGATATTCAGCACAATAACACAACGTCCAGACGATCACCGCACGAACACCGCTAGAAAGCTCTTTCATAGCCCCACTCCCGTCCGGTTGTCACGCGCCGCAACACCCACAGGTCATGAAATGATTTGAACAGGTCCCCGTGAGAGCTTTTCTCGCCCTCTCTATCTGGTGTTACCTGAGCTGTCAACAGCGTCGCCCGGTTGTTGAGCGTTCCGGCCAAGCTTGGGTGCTCAGGGCCTAGAACCTTCTCCTTGATTGTCTGGCTTCGCTCCAAGAGTGGCTCGGCTTCGGTGTGCTTGCCCTGGATGGAATTGAACGGCGAACAACGTGGCGAGGTCGTATGCCGTGTTGAAGTCGGAGTTACAACGTCGGACGAACAGGTATGCAACAACCCCGCCCGGTTGTTCAGCCTCATTCCCAGATCGGCTCGGTCATGGCCCAGCCTTGCGTTCCCACAAGGATCTATGAGCGTTGCTAAAGTCTAGCGTGCGGTGAGAGCAAGTCCGTCTAGTCGCAGACTGCGTTTAACCGAACAGTCCAATACCCCAAGTTTTCTGCAGCACGGCTCGCTCACCTGCTCGCACAGCAACTCCGCCAGGTTGTTTAGTCCAACAGCAACATCGGGGTGTTCACGACCCAGTGCTGTTTCCCAGATCATGATCGCACGCTCGCACAGAGGCACGGCTTCCTCATACTTCCCCTGCAACGTGATGGCAACGACACAAAGCAATGTGACCAAGGCCGTATTCGGCAGAACAGCTCCTCAACAACACCGCTCCGTGATTGCACGTCGTGGAAACTATCGGGACCTTACGGCGGAGTAGCTCCAAGTGCGGAGAAGAACTTCCTCCCTTGGAACAGTCCGGAGTGATCCCGACGCGTCGATTGGTTCACACCTGCTTCTTGAACTACGCTATCTGTTTCTTCAACTCTACAACGTCCAAACGGATCACCACCACCTTGAAAAATTGTTGATCGCACCTAGCTGCTTCACAACCCCGCCTCCACTCGGATGCCAAGCACTGCATCACCCATAGCTCACTACACGACGCGATCTCGCGGCTCTCACCTGCTTCTCCAACGACGACGCCCGGTTGTTAAGCGTTGTGGCCAAGCTTGGGTCATCAGGACCTAAAGCCTTCTCCTCTATTTTCTGGCATCGTTCATAGAGTGCGTCGGCCTCGGCATACCTTTGCTGGAATTCAGTGGTGTATAGCGCGGCAACGTCATATGTCAAAAAAAGTTGGATCTACAACGTTGAGAGACCATGAATTCAACAACCCCGCCGGGTTGGTGAGCCTTGTACAGTTCATCCGGGAGAATATGACACAAATCATTGTCCCCTCTTTGTTTCGCTCAATTTCGAGAGTTGGCCCATGGGCGAAGTGTGTGTGGGTAAGACGCACCATGTTCCGTCGACTGCGTGAAGCTCCAAGCATCGTCGTTCGTTTCCCAAAACTACGACGAGTAATTGAATGGTAAACACTGGCACGGCACAGCTAGTTCTTGGAAGATTTTCACCAAAGAATCTAGAGAGAATCGAGCTTTAAGAAAAAACGAGTGGTCTGCACTCCCTGTAGTGACAACAAGAATTTGCACGAAGAATGTGCGAGGAAAGTACACAGGGGCGCCAGAAGACTACCAGATTGACCCAAACTCGTGTAGCGAATACATGAAAACATGTGGCTGGGAGTTATTCCACAGGTAGATCTGCCACAACGAAATTAAAATATCCCGAATGGACTCCAATATAATCGGGATGTTCAGCGCCCAGTCTTTCTTCCCGCCCTAAAATACTTGTACGATCGAAAGTAGTGAGGCCCCGCCTCTGACTCGATTAATATAACGTGAGTCGACAGTGGTTTTGTGTAGTCCCCTTTTCCAGGCAGGGCCGGATCCAGGACTGCGGTGCATTTTTTCTGGTGGAAGCACTCAGAAGCATCCAGAAACTTTTAGCACGGTCTTGTAGCATATCGAAGCAGTTCAGAGCATGTAGGATCACCTAGGAGCCCTAGACGCTATTTGAAATATCGATAATCCGCGGAAGGTGTAGAAGCATCCGATATGATCAAGAAATATATCGCTGACTTCTCACTTGCGCTATGAGCAAGCTCGCCCAGGTACTAGCCACAATCGAACTTTCCAACATCTCGACATTCCCGAACAGCCTGATTGTTCTCACCTGCTGGCACATCAATCCCGCCAGGGTACTTAGTCCAACAGCAACGTGTGGATGGTCATGCCCCAGTTTTGCCTTCCAGATCGTGATCGCGCGCTCGCACAGAGGCTCGGCTTCTTCGTGTTTGCCCTGCAATATGAATGATACGAGAAGAAGCAATGCGATCAAGACCGAAATTGAGAAGAACGTGTTCTCAACTCTCACCGCTCCGTTGGTGAGCGTCGTCGAAACATTCGATGGCTTATGGCGGATAGCTCAACTGCGGGGGACCACTTACTCGTGCAGCAGGATGTCAAAGCATTGATCGGTTCCCACCCGCTTCTTCAACAACGCCGTCCAGTTGTTCAGTGTCACAACATGCAAACCATCACGACAGCATTAACGCCGTGATTTTTTATGTATCTCAATCATAGCATAGGCTCTTTCGTATCCTCGCCTCCACTCGGATCGCCATAACACCCACAGGTCACGACACAACCTGACAATAGCTCCGCACAAAGTCCTCTGAAAAGTTCTTTCGATTCTCACCCGCCTCGCCAACAACGACGCTCGGTTATTGAGTGTTGCTGCCAAGCTTGGGTGGTCAGGGCCTAGAACCTTCTCCTCTATGGTCTGACTCCGCTCATAGAGTTCATCGGCTTCGGTGTACTTGCCCTGGAATGCGATGGTGGACAGCGCGGCAGAGTCGCATGTTAGATAAAGCGGGATCTAGACCATCGGAGGACCATGTTCTCAACCACACCCCCAACTCTTAAGCCTTTCAACAATATCCGGATGGTCTGGGTCCAGCGTCTTCTTCGTACTGTCAATAGGATCGAAGGCAAAGAGGGTTCGCATCAGCGTTCTAGCCCTGGAATACGAGTGGACCCAATTATTGAGCTGCACTCCGGACAGATTCCTATGGAGAAGCGCGGAAGATTATGTCCTCGTAGAAGAACGAAGAAGCTTCCAAAAATGTCACGAAGGATGTAGAAGCTCAAGGAAATACGTCCGAGCTACGAAACGTATAATTTTCATGATCAGCGAGGGGTTTTCATGGTCAGTATGTGGACCAGCGGAAGACCTATTGCCCCAACAAAAAAGCCTCCGGACGGATGACGAAGCGTCACTACATTCTTTCCTTCTTCTCCACCAACCTCCGACCGTTATTGAACATAAAGAAATCGACACAGCATCCCAAGCAATGTCATTGGAAAACGTAGGAAACTGTAGGTGGGTGGTGACAACCTAGGGGTTTGACGTTGTAGCCAGAAATGTACGAGATTCGGAGGGAACAGCATGGCCCGGATCACCGCAATCAACCCGCATGTTAGAGGGAGGACGGGATAGCCCGAGTTGTGAGGATACAGGTTCACCGGACAGAGCACACAACGGTTCACGAAAACAGCAGGCAAGAACAGCAGGACACGGGTGTTGAGAGCAAGGGAAACACACCATTAAAATATATACTTCAAGCATAGCCAACAACAGCAAGCAAAGGAGCACGCAACACATACACGAGGGGGCTGCAAGAGGAGCGGGTTAAGAAAATTCAGAGTTCCGGGGCCGGACGTCGCTTCAGGACATTCGTGTTTCTCCCGCTCACTCTCCGGTAAATTTCACTACGGATCGGAAAACCGGTGGGAAAAGGTAGAGCTACATTACGAGAGGTAATCCCAGTGCACCGCATTGAACTGTGGTGAGTTCCCGCTCGTTTGAGAGTTACAATCAGATGCGGGATCACGAAGTTAAGATACGATGTTATGGAGCATCCAAGTAACTGCCACTACGGAACCCTGATTTTGCACGCGTTCTTAGTGGTTGGTCTTGACGTGGGTTCCCGAGAGACTTCACGCTGTCAAATACAGCGCCCGGATCGTTTGGCAAATTGCAGTGCAGCGGGTCGTTTGGAAAGGAAGACCACGCGCTTACACCCGTCCGGTCAACGTCTGACGTATCTGGGAAATGTCGCTGTCAAGGAATAACGAACAGCGGCTTGTGGTCAGCTGTTCTCCTATTCTTTTTCGTGGGAATTGCGCTATTTTCTTGGGACAGGGCAGGAGGGAGGATGACAGAGAACACCCCATTCCTTCCTACCCCCATCAAATGAAGGGGAGACGCTAAACCACCAAAGGCTAACGGTCAGCATCTCAGGGGAACTCCAACTTACTCTAGGAAGACTGCTGAATACCAGAGAAAACTTCTCTGACGGCCCTCACTCGCTGCTCACACGCATCACTGTGTTCAGCGCTGAGCGATCACCGCACCAAATCCTCTTCAAATCTATGACGGATCTTGATTGGTTCTTGAACAACCCACCAATAAACGAAAGGCCACCCCAGGAATTGAAAAGAGCACTTTAAGACCGGTGGAAACTTGTGGTACCTCTCACCTGCTGAGTCAACAACATCGCCCGGTTGTTGAGGGTCGTGGCCAACCTTGGATGATCCCACTCCAACACCTTCTCAAGTATCTCCTGCGTCCTCTTGAATAACGTATCCGCCTCGTTGAACTTGCCCTGGAAGAAGAAAGATTAAGTGCGACATCACGCGGTCAAGACCAGTAGAGCAAACTGCGGAGGAACATCTGTTGAACAACCCGCCGCTGTTGTTCGGCGTTCAAGTCCAGCTCGGGGGTGCTCAGGGCCAAAATCCTTCCACACAGCCGAAAGCCGTCACCCGAGTGGATCAGCCTCGGCATGCTTGCGCACAACGGACAGCGTGGCATAGCCTCAGCGTCAGGTTCAATCGGATCAAGACTCGCGGAGGAATTTCTTAGAACAATCACGCACAGTTGTTGAGTGTTTTTGGCAACACGAAGGTGCCCAAGTTCTACAACGTTCTCTACTGCCTAAACTCGCGCGAAGAGTTGCTTGTTCATGGCACAAACACCTGCACGTCAGGGGGAAAACATGACAGGAGTGTGTACAAGGCTAACGGAGGAGCGATGCTTGTTTATAGACTGGTGAGCGCATTCACCTTTCTCCAGGAAACGCACTGTGACGATCTGTGGATTCATGAAAAATTTGGGAGGGTCTTACCTGTTTCACCAACAGCCCCGCCCGGTTGCCAAGCGCACGAGCATAAATAGGGTGTCCTTGGCCTACGGTTACACCCAAAACCTCCACGGCCCGGGTGTAAAGGTGCTCTGCCTCCTCGTACTTGCCCTGCGATGGGTTGGATTAATCAAATGTTATCAGATCTGGCAGAGCCTATGACGCAGAAGCACATTCTCAAAACAACCATGCCCGGTTGTTGGCATGTTGGCCGAGCATGGGTGATAAGGTTTGAAATTCGTCTCCTCTATTCCCTGATACCGCACAACGGGTAGCTCCACCACAGTATATTTTTCCTGGGAAGCGAACGGACATGTACGATAAGAAAGACATGAAAGCAACAGGCATGCGCGGTGGTGCTCTAGGACCATGCCGGCTTGTTGAGCGCACCCTTCGACTGTAAGACCCAACCCCAGCTCCCCCTTCCTGAAGGGTATAGCAACACCTTCCCTCAGGAATATCTGACAGCTCCTACCTGACTCTGCAACAACAATGCCCGGTTGATTAGAGTATTCGCCAGGAGTGGGTGGTCAGAGCCGACAGCCTTTTCCGTGTTCTCGACTTCTCGCATACACAGTGCGTCGGCCTCTTCGTATTTGCCCTGGAATGAGAGCGGAAAAAACGAACGGACCGGGCGGGTTGTTGATCTATGATCAATGGCTTTCGAGCGTGCACCACCTACCACCTTCGTCTTTGACTTCAACGTCAGGAAACATCTTCGATGTATTGTTTGGAAATAATCACCCGGAAGTCGCGGGAATCTTTAGAGCGGGAGCGTGTTCACGGTCCAGCGTCGTCTCCGCGATCGTGCCTACCATTTTGGAGATATAAATGCATCCTCTTCGTGCTTGGCAGAATGGGATAAGAAACGCAAAAGCAGTGCGGTGAAGGTTCGGCAAGCAGATTGAGAAGGAAGAAATGCTCTGCAACGACACACGGCTGTAGCTCGGTGAGGCATCGTTGTAGCGGATGATCAACGACTTTGCACCTAGTACAACGCAAGTGCTGCCTCTTCTTTTGGACCTGGAATGTACCCGGTAAAGGCGAAAGGAGTGTGGACATGCTTCGTAGAGCTCACTGCGGAAAGAGGGGCTTGTAAACTCTCCAACCGTTGAGCAAGCTGACGCGAGCTGAGAGCCAAGTATGACCGCGCTGAATGCCTTGCAGCCTTACAAATTCAATTCCTACCTCTCCACGAACGTCGGGCTCGATTGTTGACCAAACGAGCTCTCGGCAAGTACATGTCACACCCAATCTTCCAAAGCCAAGAGTCATTTTCACTAACGCTACGACCAGCGATGGTGTCGATAGCGAAAGCCACTCTCAATCGATAAAAGTACCGAGACCAAGCTGCGAAGGGAGAAAGCAACCCCCCGGCCTCCAGCGCAAGGCGATACGCAGGTTCACAGGCACTCAAGCTCCTCTTTCAGGCAAATGGCTTAGGGCTCGAAGAGCTTGTGCCTCACCTGTTCGCTCAATGCTCGGCACAGTGCTGCTCTGTTTGCATTTTCGTCGAGCAGTGCCATTCTTGATTCCTTGCCGTCATTGTCCTCGAAAACGCGTTTTGCTCCCTCGGCCTCCAGGAGTTGCTGGTGCATCGAGAGATTTGGGAGCACATGCCACACGCGTTTTACTGCACGCACATCATGTCTGTGCGCAAATGGACCCATCGAGATGGATCCATTGAAATGGAGACGCTGAAGAGGTGCAGCAGAGAAATGGCAAACGCTAGACAACGCACAGATTGCATACTCTACGCGCATTACCTGTTTGAGGCCCTTCTCAGCCTGGGCGTATTGTCCAGCAGCGAGCTGCAAGTGTTCTAGACAAGGCCGAGTTCCATGCCAGTCCTCCGTGGCCAGGTGCATCATCTCCTCCACAACCTCAGGCGATATGTTCTCGAACATGTCTTCAGGTTCCATTTCCGACGTCACGTTGAGGTCCCGCGCCCACTCGTACACGGCGTGTTGATCGCTTTTCAATGCCACGAACTCGCGGAGCTGCAGCTGAATCTCGCATAGGTGCTCGTGCACGACGGCGTTCACCTTCACGTCCCGATAACCGCTAGGCATCCAGTCGGAGTTGAAGCCATTCGCCACGCGCAGGACATCTTGCGGCTACAAGAGCCGTTGCAAACGGGTAAAAATTATAGTTTTATAATGGAAGTGTCAGACCGTACTCCCTGTACCTGTGGCACAACGGGCATAAGCTAACAAAATATTGAACAGCAGCAGTAGCTCCGAGAAGCATGCGAAGGCATGTGTGAACATTTTGAAACACGAACAACACAAAGGCAACTTGGCGAGAGGCGAATGGCACATGCAACGATACTACAGCAAGTGCACATATTGCGTTTGGAATTTTGCAGAGAATGGTGTACACACACAACGGTTAGCAAAAACGATACGCATAATTTGTGTACAAAAACAATCGATACCCAACTACCATAAGCATCACGGTCGTTATCCCCGATCGCTGCTACGATATGTCAAGCAAAACGCATCAGCACGATGCTCTCCTGATTTTCCCGAGATACTCCCAGTACCAAAATCAAACCAAAAAGCAAATGAAATTGTGCCACACCACGTCCAGAAGTGCCAGCTGTCTGCAAAGCTACATATGTCGTGCTCACCTGGAGCGATCCCAAGATAGCCGAGAACGCCTGTTCCAAGGCCTCCGGTGTTTCACAGATCACAGTTACCCTAGCCATGTCAGTAATCTTTCGCACATCACCACCACAGAACTTGATGGCCTTCCGTCGGGTGCTTTCGCGTGACTTGACCCCCACGCGTTGAATCTCATACTTTGTCGAGTCTTGCGCCACACTCGCCACGAGCACGTCCAAAAACGGTTTTGCGAGTCCAGCGTCCGTAAGATAGAACTGGAGCTGCTGTTCAAGCCGATCGCCTTCATCACAGTCCTGCAACTCTGAGATCTTGGGCTGGAAGCGGTCTTTCGAACGAGCCGGGGCGATGCTTCGAAGACACTCCAGACCTCCGTTCTCGTTCAGCTCGTAGAATAAATCGTCGTACGCTTCCTCGAACCCCAATACGGTATTGACTTGAACGTACTTGAGGAGGTTGGTTTTGGCGTCTAGACGAATAGACGACGTTGGACTTTCACGCAAGGTCTTCTTCAGCTCGTCCTCCAGACGGAGAACCTCCTTGATGTCGATGTTCATCTGCAGAACAACATGGACAACATCCAACACATCGGCGCAGCACTCATCGAATCATGGCGGCAAATCGCTAAATATTTGTCAGTAGAAATAGGTGTAGGTCTAGGGTTGGGGGTACTAGTGAAGTGCCGCAGCTCTCAAAAATAGAGCATGCCGTGAACGAAATTGATTCCTGCTGGCAACTGGGTCATCCCACAGCAAAAACAATAAAAGCATTCCGGAGATGCTGACACTTGAGTTTCCTCCCACCCAATCAATAAGGGGGCTGTTAGAAAGTGTTCCGAGACGCGAATGGCTTATCTCTACCAACACGATCTCATATCATCTGCCTGAGACAATCTTACCAAGTTGTCTAAATTTCCAGCCGCCCATTATCGAAATTGGACTTGACATCGAAGCTCCGGCGATAAAACTGTGCTTATCTCTACCAACACGATCTCATATCATCTGCCTGAGACAATCTTACCAAGTTGTCTAAATTTCCAGCCGCCCATTATCGAAATTGGACTTGACATCGAAGCTCCGGCGATAAAACTGTATCATTGAAACAAATGCTGTTCAAAGGCACACCATACAAAATCGCCCTTTATTTCCGAAATTGGTCAAGAGAGCTATACTACGTTCGTACTTGAACCGCGAACAATAACGTTAGTTGTGCCGTGTTCTCCGACCTCGCAAACCCTTGTTCACTCTCGGGCTACAACATGCGGAGAACATAGATAGTCACACGTTGATCAGAAATAACACAGGGAGCAGACTAGATAGAGAGTTGGTTGTTGCGTTTAAGGTGAGGCAGGATACAACGCAATTTTCTACAGGCTTGATTTTCAACCTGCGTTGGTCTCAAGAACAGGCAGTGGAAGTTTGGGACCTACATCAGTGGATTCTACACACTGCGCGTGCCTGCTGTATGTGGCCCGGGTAGATGGGCAAGCGCCCAGCCGAACAACGTTGTAGATACCTCGGTTGGATAAAACTTGTATGCGCAGTAGTGTTGTTGAGAGCGTGAGGCGCCGCGCTTTCCGCTTAGGCTGAAAAATAAAGGGAAACACATGCTACGTGATTGGTCCTCCTCAACTCCGCAACCGCCAGCCCCTGTATACGTGAGAGTATGGCCAGCGATGTATTTGTAGCTCGTCAAGACGGAAGTCTCTCCGATACATCGCAGGACCTTGCTAGGTGAACTTCCTGCTCTGTGTACTGGTCGTGTGTATCGTGCGGATAATCTGGGGTATGTCGAACGTACACACCGCGCTTTCATTCCGCACACACAAAGAGAGCACGAATCCTACAAACAAAAAAATGCGCTCGGTAGGTACCGAGAGAGGCTGTGTTCGATCAGGAGCAGCACCAAATCATCATCTGCCGGTGCATCTGATTCTACAACAATGGACAGCATTTTACAGCAGTTCAGAGACAATAATTCGGTCGATTGGTCTCTCCAACCAACAGAGACAAAGCCACAGCTAGGTTCGTTCAAGTTCGCGTCCGCGACACGGAACATGGAGCCGGGGTCGGAACAAGACACAATTGCAAGAAGAGTGGATCCTGCCGCGGCAAAAATAAACATTCTGGCGGCGACCGAGGGGGAGAAAGAGAGAGGCAGAGAGAGAGACAGAGAGACATAGAGACAGAGGCAGAGAGAGAGAGGGAGTAAACCTGCTCGGTGTTGTTGAAGCTACAAGTAAACGAGAGATTTCTCCCGAGACCTGATTGTCAAGTGTGCAACCCTACTGCCGTACAGGAGTACTAATGCCTACAGCAGTAGTATCGCACACCTCACCGGACTGATTGAGCCCACACGTCCTCCCTCTCGCTGTCCACAGAGCGCTCCCACAGTAGATGGGATATGAGCAGAACACGTTCTGGGTCTACCGCCCCACTCCACTCTTTCGCGCCGATTGATGAGTGGGAAGTGCTGAAAGAGAGTTGAGACCTGTGCGCCTTATTCGATCGATCACGTCGCCCCCGCTCTTGAATATTTGCAATCCATTTACCATGGGTTATAAAAGAGAACCACAGTCCAACCATCCAGATGGGTCGAAACCCCGGGAAACCGCCCGGAGCGTCCCCGAAGAGGTTCTCCTCTCTCTCTCTCTCTCCAGTTCAAAACTATCTCGGAGCCTGGATCTAACGCCCGTAGTCTTCGGAAGCAGAGCTCTCGTCTGCAGCAACAGCCCCAACAGGCCATACTGCCATGCTGGCACATATCACGCCAAGGCCAACCTTAAGGTTTGGCTTTGGTGCGAAGATGCAAGGGAAGAGGAATTCAATCCTGTTTGGGTGTGGTGCACGGAGAACGGAGTGCTCCCTGGGCAAGAGGAATCCACCCGCTTCCGGGAGCAGAGCGCAGAGGACGAGTAGGCAGTGGCGACAGTTAGACGGGGCAAGAGGGTTGTAGGACGTCGGCGCGGGTGGGGTTCGGGTGGGGTTTAAGGCGTGAGTGCTTGTTGTTCGCTGTCGTTCGTGGTAAGCGTTTCAGGACGCTTGATCGTGATCTATATTTGAGGTAGTCTATATTTGAGGTTGGGCCATTTCTTACGGTTCTTTTTTGGGGCTGTCTTTTTCTTTTTTCCTTCTCAAAAAAAGAGAACTCGCAAAGAACACCTTCTTTTATTAGGCCCCGGGTCGGTGATGCCAATAGTCGATTTCTTAATTGAACGGTCTTTGTTCCGAGTGTAGGGCGGACAGTCGGGCGGTGGGATGTATGTGTTTGCCGTCATCCCGTACATTGTGTTCCCGCAGCAGCCCGGCTAACGCAAGAAGAACGGTACGCTTTTTTTCTACTGCCGTAAGGGTTAAAATGGTCAAGTTCGTCGACATTCACGCATGTTTGTTCATCCGCCACCAGGACGTCGGCAGGCATGCGGCGCCCGAACCAATGTCGTGGGTACGACAACTACCAATATTGAAGTTAGACCGAGTATTTTGAGCCCGGCGTGAAATCAAGGAAACCAAGGATACTACTTCGTTGGTACGCGAGGGCACACAGGGACGTGCGCAGGGTGACCGCAACATCTGCAGGCACAAAATCTGTAGGCATCGTTTAGTTCGCACACCGCAGGCCCGCTCAACAAACTCGAGACGCGGCTCACACGGTTTTCTTCGCAGAGCACACAGGTCGACAAGCACAGATAGACGCACAAAAAAAAAACAGAAAAAACAACATCCAAGAGCGATTTGATGATAGAATGACCCCCACCAAAAAAAGAAAGGACCTGGATATGACCCCAACACGGCAAAAAAAGGGGCGGACGAAGAAAGAAAGAAAAGAAAAGGAAATAGAACAAAAGAAATAAAAACAGGACAGGAACCAGATGGTCCCATCGAACGCTACACCGCAACAACCAAATAGACATACAAACACAAAAACGACAACATCACAGACGGCGATCGGCGCAAAAACGCGGAAGCGAAAAATAAACAACACACCGAGCCTTGACCTGCCGCCTTGGGAGACAAAACATCGTTCAGGCATATGCCCCGGTGACGTCGTAAACCTAGGGCCGCGTACCGCTACTCGCGTATCCCGAGTATGCAACACCGAAACTAGAGTTGGGACCCCGAAGTCGCGGCTCTCTTGCTACCCCCTCTTGTGTATCTTTCTGCAGCGCCAGGTCGTCTTTTATTACTTGTCCTAGCGGGCAGGCGAACAGTTCCAGGGTTGGCCATGAAGAGAGCCGCCCCCCGCCCTCCCGTCGTTGTAGTTCCTACCCCGCCTGCTTGCGCATTGACCATCGTCAGAAATTGGTCCACGAGGGCTACGGCGACTGTCGGTGAAAAGCGATCAGACAAAATACTCGCGGCTTGCCCGAGCTTCTTCGTTACGTCGGCGTACAACACTTGTCTATCCTGGTCCGTGGGCCCCTTCTCCTTCAAGTCCAACAGGACCGTCTGCACAGTCTGGCTGCTCCCAACGAAAGACTTCCACCTCCCGCTGCATCCCCCCACCCCGTCTCCCTCTCCGTCTCCCACCGCCCCGTCCACTTCTCCCGCAGCGTGGCGGTTGGATACCACCCATCGAGGGCGGGCGACATCCGGCCAGTCCTGCTGCGGTGTTCCCCTCGCCTTTTCCGTCAGCCAGTGCTCGTGCAGGAGGCCTACGTGGAATCTGAATCGGGGGCTGTACATCATGGACGCCCACACGTGGCGACAAAATAGCCCGAGAGTGTGGAGTGTGCGGCACTGGCAGAGATGGCTACCGTCGGAAAAGAGCAAGACGAGGTAGTCGAAGGCCTTGCCATCACGCTGCTCGCGAATCCCGAAGACGTAGATGACGTCGCAAAGCTTGTCCTCGATGTACTCGAACGTGCGTCCCAAAGCTGCCGCGCGTTCTGGTCCATCCACCTCCCCACCACCCATCTGGCAAAACATGATGGCCGCGGTCATCTCTTGCTCCATGAACCGCCGCGGCCAGCCCGCAATGGCGAACTCGCAGGACTCGAGCACACTTTTGAAAGCGGTCGCTGGTGGAGCCACCATCCGATAAGGCGGCAGATGGTCGATGGCGTCACGCAGCATGGCGGCATCCTTCTGGGAACAGATGATACCCGAAAAGTACTTCGCCACGTCCAAAAGCGAGGAGCGCGAGTTGCACTTATCCCTGATGAGGGCGTTTTGGCCTGTTGTGTGTGCGGCGGACAAACACGCAAGAAGTGACACATAAAACCAAACCGTGGGTTAGTGATTGGTGTCATCAGACATCGTCGAAGTCGCAGTACGCCAAACGACTGAAAGAGAAGCCTATGACTTGACGCACCCATCGCCACAGATGTATGTACACGTGAGCCGGACGATCGCCGTGCACCGACCAAGTACATCAAGCCCGAACAACAGGGGCCGGACAACAGCCACATGTTTCGAAGAGGTCGTAAACATTAGCGGCATGTAGGGAGTTGTTTACTGGTCATTCACTGACGACGTACGATAAATTCGTCAAGAAGCACTCACCAATGGCATAGTAAATAGGGGGCAAGGAAGATAACCGCCCCCAACCTCTACAGACGTAGAAAAAATCCCAAAAACAACGACAACGCTACATGCGCTGTCGTTCTCGAATAAAACGCTCATGGCAGATGACGCATAAACGCACCTTCAACTCTTGATGTCGTCCACGAACCCACGGAGAACACCAGGGGCGACACATATTCCGCCCACCGTGCGCGGTCGTCATATACCACTCGCATGTACTTCTCCGCCTTCGGGTACTTTTCGATGAGGGCGGTGAACTTCCGTTCGAACTTCGCCAATGACAGCTGCTGACGCACACACCTGAACTCGTCCATGAAAGGCTGCGAAAAAAACAAACGACGTAGGCCGGGTGGGTGTTGCGTGAGTTGGGGCCTCTGCGATGAGTTACCGGTCTGTACGATTGACTGCCACCAACAACCCCGTACACTTCGTTAGCGCTAAGGCGAGACGAGGAGAGGGTTGAAAAAACTCAGCGACATACCATTGGTGCTTACAACTTGCTGCTGCTGCCGCTGCTTTTTCTGTGTGCACTGGACGTCGTGAGGTATGCTTCCGTCGAAGCCGAGGTCGTCTCCGCATCACGGTCTACGCAGAGACGCTGGATATAGACGACAACGCCACTGATCCATGACAACGCACCAACTCGCACAGGGGATACAAGCGGGAGTGGGGGAGGGGGGCTAGAGTGAGCAGCGTACGTCGCGCGACCAGGACAATACGAGAGGCCAGACTAACCACGCCAACACACACAGTAGAGCGCACCTTCATATCCCCACCAAGGACTTTAGCGAGGGCCTTGATGATGTTCTGGTTGAGGTGCCATAAACAGCGCCTCGCCAGCGCGTCCGGGAACACCTCTCGCACCGCCGCCGTCATCGCCGCATCCGCATCCTGGATGAAGATACCCGGCTGCTTCCCCCCGCGAGACTCCAACGCACTCTTCAACATCCACAGGAAAGTGTCCGTTGTGGTGTCCGCCGTTATGCTTTGGCCGACGATCCGCGTCCGATACTCCGAATCGATGACAGCGAGCACACCGAGGGGCATCCGGTATCTCTTCTTGACGGCGGTGTCGTCGTAGAGTGCAACGTGACCGTACCGATTCCAAAGCGCCACCTGCGTATTCGGAGCATGACGTCGAAGGGGGTCGAGAGCACTTAATTGTGGGTGTGACGTGTTGGACGCGTCACAACGCACCCCCACCCTTGCCTACGGCCTGCTTTCGGTCAGATGTCCTACATTTACGGACGGCCAAGCGGTACGTGCGAGATGCTAAAATGAAAGCAAACCTTCCGGCTGGGGAATATTCGTATGGGGCACAACGACCGGCGACCTACCTGCTCTCTCGTTTGCCACCAGATGTGCGTCAGGCGGCCGCTGTCATCCATCTTGATCTCGCACACTCCGCCGTCGGCCGTCGCGGCCATGACCTGAAATTGCAGCATGTTCAGCGCCCGGAAACATCGAGGGCATCAGCGCAAAACCACGACGACGGCACGGCACACAATTTTTACCGCCAACATTTCTTGGTTTGGTGTCATGGGGCATGTATTCTCCCGGTTGTCACCTGCGATCGTGTGTCTCTCGTCGCCCGGTTACCGCCTTGAGCAAAACCCAATATCCCACACAAACAAGAGAGGCAACAGTCTCAACGGACACATGGACACACCTCTTCGTATGCATCGGCGGCATCTCTCGGCTTCTCCGCCCCGTGCACAGTGGCAGCCGCATTCTGCACCGCGCGCTTGTTGATATCGATGTCGCTGTCCTCGTGCAACGCCTTCATTGCTTTTGTCACCTCTTGTGGCTTCATCCCATGACCTGCGCCGTATGGGAGAGCCGGGAGCACAAAAATAAGTGGCGTGTCACCGACAAACAGGGTAACAACGTGGAGGCGACAGCAGTACCACGCTTCAAGGGCCGTTCGTCATGCGGCATCATGACTGCCAACCATGACAAACCGTGGCATACGACGGGAGCTACCGTAGACCTACTCCAACGCGTTCAATCTTCTCACCTGTCATCTGCTTCACTTGTCCCAGCTGCTCCTCCGTTAGTGTTGATGCGAGGCGAAGCTTGACGTCGATGGCCGTGCGGTCGACGCTGTGGTTGTGCGTGAGCTTCATGTTGCTAATCCTGGGCCACCTGTGGGACTTCGCGTGCCGGACGCTGACCTGAAATAACGGAACGGCGGGTCCACAACAAGGATAGAAAAGGAATAATTAAACGGTGGATACGTGGGATATGTGTGTGTGTAATGGATCACAACATGGATCATGGATCACAAGACACCCGACCGACCCCTCCCCAATTTTAATTACGCAGTTCGGACATCTTTTACAATCTCACGCTCGAAGACCTCAGACACCTGTTGGACCCTTTCTCCGTCCACTGCACCAAGACATGTTCCGCGGGAGACCAGCTACGTACCTCAAACGGACAACCAGTCCTCGCGCTTCCCTTTACGTTCCGCCGTTGTACCCCAGGTGCTGCAACACGCAACGGCATGGGAGACGGAGTATAGGCGGTGTGTCATCGACGGTGTGTCATGCATTCACCTGCACCGAAGCATGCATGCTAACAACAGGCTTGCCCGCGACTCGCCCCGTATTCGTCGCCTCAACCATTCTCCTAGTATGCCCAAGTGCCACGGATGAAACGCTTACCGGTGTCTAGACTGGCTTCGTACTCCAGGTGCCGGCTCTTCCCGCCTCGGGTACAAATCAGCTTCTTCATGTCCACACGATCCGTGGCGCCGTCGCGACACCTCGTCGATTTCGCGGTAGAAAGGATCGCCCCTTCACCGGCGCACAACCTCACCACCTCCTCCTCCACGTCTTCAAGCGTCTTTCCCTCCGTCCGCACTGCCTCCAGCTTCGCCTTTAACACAGCCGGAACGTACACCTAGTGTTCAAACCGCAATACGACGGGTTAGACAGCGGCACGTGCTTCGGGGTGTGGACGATTCTACAGCACAGTGGGATGTTAGAGCATCGAGCACAAAAATACCCGATTACTGTACTACAGCACCGAGCAGGCGAATGCAGCGGGCAAGTCACACAGAATAAAAATTCTTGTAGATACACCCAGACCAACACATGCATGGCGTCGTTGACCCACGCCATCGCAGCCTCCCCGTCGTGCATGAGGGTGCACACTACGGGCATTGCCACCTGCGTTTCCGGCGGGGGGCTGGTGGTCAATGTCTGCTGCTGTTGTTGCTGTACGGGGAGGGCTTGTACAGGGTAGCCCGCAAAACCTCCGGCGGCCCCAGCATCGGGAGCACCCACAGGGGTCGGAGTTCCCAACGGCAGACCAGTGCGAGGTGAAAGCATGGCCTGCAACCGCACGCGAAACCCACCACGCGGCGGAAGGGAAGGACACCATGTCAACGTTTGATCACAAGACAAGACAAATGCCACGTTTCGCCGTCCACCGCTGAGTACACGAAAACAGCGAACCGTACGTGCACGCGTTCAAAGGCACGAGGTGCAGCACAGCAGGGACAATCTATTGGCATGCTACACCCACGGAAACAACGGCAGGGCCTCTACAGAGAGCCTTGATGTGGACGGGGGGAATGCCAGATACCGGTGCTCTTGTCATGGGGCCATGGGGAACAGCAGCAGCAACCACAAGTAAAGTACACAAAAAAACATTGTGGGTGTCACGCCGAACGGCACGTGTCAAGCACCAACCCGTCTCGCCTGCGTTTCCGGCGGAGGGCTGGTGGTCAATGTCTGCTGCTGTTGTTGCTGTACGGGGTGGGCTTGTACAGGGTAGCCCGCAAAACCTCCGGCGGCCCCAGCATCGGGAGCACCCACAGGGGCCGGAGTTCCCAACGGCAGACCAGTGCGAGGTGAAAGCATGGCCTGCAACCGCACGCGAAACCCACCACGCGGCGGAAGGGAAGGACACCATGTCAACGTTTGATCACAAGACAAGACAAATGCCATGTTTCGCCGTCCACCGCTGAGTACACGAAAACAGCGAACCGTACGTGCACGTGTTCAAAGGCACGAGGTACAGCACAGCAGGGACAATCTATTGGCGTGCTTCACCCACGGAACAAACATTGCCGGTGTCACGCCGAACCGCACTTGTCAAACATCAACCCGTCTCGCCTGCGTTTCCGGCGGAGGGCTGGTGGTCAATATCTGCTGCTGTTGTTGCTGTACTGGGTGGGCTTGTACAGGGTAGCCCGCAAAAGCTCCCGCAGCGCCAGCATCACGAGCACCGTAAGAGGCCGGCAGAGCAGCACTGGATGGAAGCATTCCTAGCAAAGACACCACCGCACGGCAGGCCACGGGTCCCACGACGCGAGCATGGAGGGTAGACACATGAAGTTAAGGGGTTGGGCAAGTGCGTGCACATGCCAGCACCTCTACCAGCCCAGTATTGTAGGACCACTGTACACCCGAGCAGCCAGAAGAAACTACTCCGGATTGCACGGCAAGGATAACAGTCAGGGCCTGGCCTGGCCTGACCACACCAGTGCAGGCACATGACCACCAACGTACGTACGACGGCGACAACAGGTACAGAGCAGCATCGACAGCGTGGGACAGCATGAGGGAGGCTGCAACACAAAGAGACAGACAAACACACACATGGCGCTGGTGCGGGTGCGGCCGTTGCTATTTTATTTCTAGAAAAAACATCACAGAGACGGTGAGGGTGAGGCACAGACACAGAGGATGCACGGACGGCTGTCGGGACGGGATCTCACCAGTTATCGTTGTGTGTCGTCTCCTCGTCTTCCCCCAGCGTGCGGGTGCGTGTCGCCGCCTTCAGACGGCTCTCCGTCGCCGTGATTAGCTGTAAAGGAGAGGGAGGAGAACCTCTTCGGGGACGCTCCGGGCGGTTTCCCGGGGTTTCGACCCGTCTGGATGTTTGAACTGTGGTTCTCTTTTATAATCCATGGATTGTTGTTGTTGTTGTTGTCTTAACCGTTCCGATCTCTCTCTACCCAGTACCTTCGTATGTCCGTACTGATCCAACACTCGACGCGGTCGATTCCCGTGGTCACAGGTTAACTTACCCTAAAAAGGTACACTCAAATAAACTGGCCCCGAGGGGTCCGCAAGTCAATAGAAATCAACGACAGATATTATTCTGGAATCCACTCCCTCTTCGCGCTATGCGAGGTATCAACTGAGACTAGCAGTCACTATCTATCATGGGCCGGAGAGAAAGAGGTACACCCCCTTGGTTCAATCTTGGTACTTCACAACGGAAGCAGAGACAAGGCCATCTGGCACAGAAAAAGAGAGGAAAAAAGAGAGAAAAAAAAAAGGAGAAAAAATAAAAATGGAAACCGTAACAAAGGCCACTTGTTAAGCTGTCCTTTTTTGGGCTGTCCCGTTTCTCAAAAAGGGACAACTGACCAAGAACCACTTGTTACGTGGTCTTTTTTTGCATTTTTGAACCTCCCGAAAAGGGACAGCGAAAAAAAAAGATAAACATAAAAAAAAGATCGCCCCATCCTCTCCCTTTTGTGGGCAACTTTGTGACAGGATGGGACGGTCCTTTTTTGTTGTCCTTTTTCTGTCACAACACATGACACTTGCCCACAAACTTGAATATCTCGACGGATGATCCCCGCAAACTCTAACGGTATTCGCACGAGTCGTGTCATGTGACTGGTACGGAGTCAGTAGCCTCGGCGATAGACGTAATGTTGTCATTCGACTGACCAGGTCCGGTGCCCACTGAGGGGTCGCGTGACTGCCGCGCCCGCGGCTTTCTTGTGTACCCTGCCAACAGGTATGTACACAGTAAGGTTGTGCTTGCGGAAGTAGTTCATCAACCTCTCGCGCTTGAGCAACCCTGCCTGACGTCGGCTGATCCATGTCCGACAGGTAGGGGATAGCCACGGCGTCGGGTAGTGTTTCGACGTCTTCCATCGTCAGAGGAACCCTGTTCGCGACTCTAGCGGCGGCATTGTCCCTGTCGGGTCTGACGTCACGACGGCGGTTTGATCTCGACGTGATAGAAGAAGAGTTCGAAAGAGAGGTCGAAGAAGAGTGCGCCGTGCTGCCCGCCGATTGCCAGCTGCGAGGTCGGCGGAGACTTGCCGGATCCTCTTTGCCGTGGCCGCTGCCATTGACTTTTTTCGCAGCTTTTGCACTGAAGTGGGTCCACGGAGAATTCGAGGCGCGTCCCGGTCAAGCTCTTGGGTGTAGTACCATGTGTTGTACAGTCGCGCCGTCTCCTCCATCACCTCCTTCTCCCCTCCGCCTTGACCCCTCACTGTCGCAAGACAATGGGCAAAGGCATCCAGCTCTCCGTCAGTTGTCGGGGTAAGAGACTTCTGTCCCTCCATGGTGCTGTCTACCATGTAGCTTACGCCCCCCCCCATAGTTGGCGAAAGAGGTGTCTTGGCCGAAGGATCCTCCGGCGTTGCGGCGGTCAGCCGTACTGGTGCTGGCCCCGACCCCCATCATCCCACCTCCCACGGCAGCACCTCTAGTCGCCGTTGACGGCAACCGTAACCATAACGGCGGCACGAACCTCGTCGCCGCCTCAGCGGCACCCGTTGCTGTCATTGCCGACAACGGCGCCGCGCCCGCACCCGGCCCCGCCGCCCCGGCCGCCGCCGTTCCCATCCGGCCTCCTGCTGTCGGTAACGGCAACGGCAACGGCAACGGCGCCGTCTCCGTCCCCGCGCCCGCGCCCGCCCCCGCCCCCGCCCCCGCGGCACTTCCTGCCGTCGTCGACGGCGAAGAACGCGGGTTGTTGCCCCGACGCTCAGCGACTATCCTCGCTGCGGCATTCATGGCTTCTCGCCGACCGGCAGCTTTCCTGGCGGTGCGGTACTCGAACCCCGTCGGCTCCAAGTCCTTTGTCGGTATCTGGCAACAGTCACCAGCACACGGACGGCAGAGAGTTGGCATCGCATAAGGCGTGCTGTGTACAACATCGGAAGAGCACGGCAAGGGACATCGACGACAACCAAAAAAATAGCAAGACTTGCATCTACAGCTACAGCTACGGCTGGGACTTACCTTCGAGTCGGGAGGCGCCGTGGGGAACGGGAGCGAACCGAGGACCCCCCTTACCGCTTCGTTCACCACGTGCTCCCTCCAAGGCCACCGAGTTGACTGCTCACTGGTGTTGCCAAGCTTGCGGTCCACGTCTAGGTTGTGACGATAGACACGTTGCAGAAGCCTCGCGTCGCATGCCTCCACACCGATACGAGCAACGCCTGCGACCAGACGATTAATGCCGCCGTGGAAGTTCTCGTTCTTCCCCGTTCCACCTTTCTTGGACCACCTCATGAGGTTCGTCTTCGGCCCCCTCCCACGCGGTAAACGACTGATGCTCGGCGAGCTGGCGGGGGGGGAGAAGCCACGTAGGGGGGGACAGGAACAGAACTGGCCGAAGTGTGTGCTCGACGACCTGAAGGCATTCGGGGCGACCACGGACCTACGAAAACCGACCCAAGTTGTCTCGGAATTCCCGTACCGAAAGACACGGCACCGAAGTTAAGGTGGACGGAAGCCGCGAAGGTGGAGGGGGGAGTACCCTGGCATGCGGCGGTGCTGCAGGGAGCTGAGAGGTTCATGACCTCCTGGCACGAGAAGGAAGAAGAGGCCAGCCGACAACGAGCGCTCAAACGAAACCACAAGCCAACAACCAATGGGGCGGGAGGGGGGCAGGAGACGGACGAGACGGCGAGGGAAGAAAGCAAACGAGAAGAGACGGACCGAGTGGCACGACACGTGCCGGATTGAATTTTCTTTTCGCCAATTCCCCCCCCCCAACGCTGCACCATTGCACCAATCCCCCAGTTGTAGTGATTTCGTACCATTACAATGTATCGCTGGTTGGTGGCCATGTTTGCGTGTTTGCTTGTTCGTTAGTGGTCTCTCCACCGTGTGCCTTGTTCTGCCTCATACTTCTTGCTATTTTCGGCCTGGTCGCTCTTTGTCCTCGCCCTTTTTCATTTTATTTTCGTTTATTTTCTCTTCTCCTTATTATAGGCCACTTGTTAAGCTCTCCTTTTTTGGGCTGTCCCTTTTCTCAAAAAGGGACGAACCAAAAAATAATCTAGCAAAAAGATGACCCACTTGTTACGGTGCTGGTCGATCCTTTTTGCTCATCATCCGCCAAAAAAAATGACCCTGCAACCCTGCAACAAGTGCAACGGCCGTTCGTCACACAATGAGTACCTTGGCACCGAGTTGGTTTTTCGGTGATATCTCCGCACAGAGCGAAGCATCAGCAACTGTAAAGCTATCCCCCGCGAGCTGGGTGCTTGGTCCGCCTTGTGTGGCGGCTGATCGAGACCACAGGGCAGTGGGAGGCACGGCAACTGAGGTGGCGAGAGTCAACAGCACCTACCTTGAAAAAACCCACCGCGCCAACAACCAGCTTTTTTTGCTCTTTTTTGCCCATGCCGCAACTTCGGTTCATGGATGCTCCCTCCCACACACTGAAACAACAGCGATGACAAAGGTATCCGCCACGAGCTATGTGTATGGTCCGTCTTGTGTGGTGGTTGATACAGACCAGGAGGCTGACGGGCGGTCAGAGGTTGTGAGCGCGAGAGTGGTGGACAAGCGGGAAAAATGACCCGCCGCGTCTCCAAGCATATTTTTTGTTTTTTTTCCCCGTGTTGCAACTTTGGTTCATCGATGCTCCCTCGTCACACACCGAAGCAACAGCGATGACAAAGGTATCCGCCATGAGCTGTGCGTCTGATTCGTCTTGTGTGGTGATTGATACAGACCAGGACGCTATAGGTCGCCCAGAAGTTGGGTTCGCAAAAGTTGACTGTGCACAAAAAAAAAGACCCACCGCTGCTGCGTCCAGGCTCTGCACGGCTTGTAAGCAGCAGTAGTAGTAGCAGCTGCACGTTTATGCGGCGACGGTCGCGCCACATCTACGAGTATCCATCAGGGAAAAACACACATCAACCAAGACAGACACTTTTTTTTACCGTTTGTGAAACCTCTGGAGATCGTATCGGTCTCTTCTTGACGGGGTGGATTCCTGTGGTCACAAGCTAACTTACCCGACAAAGGGTATACGAAAATACAACATAGAACAGACCCGAAGGGTCCGCAAGTCAATGGAAGTCAACGACATATCGTCTAGGCCACCGCTCGCCTCTACACGCTATGCGAGGTAACCCTAGGATGTCGGTCCGCATCCGAAATTGACTTGCCGAAGGGTCCGCTCGGACATCGTTGGCCTTCACCGAGAGCCATGAGACGCAGAAGAATCGGACTAAACACTACTAACAATAGAATGCTTCTTGCACGTGATACAGCAAAATAGATCTGGCTCCACAGAAAACGGACAAAGGCATACCAACGTATGCACGGGACATGGACTTGCTTCTTATCGAACTCTCACCCGAAAGACTGCAGACCAGGGTAGTATTGTAGCGATGCAGCAGCAACCGCGCCGATACAATTTTATATCGCAGTTAGTTGTAGGCGGCCGATCGTTTGTGTGACCAGTACCGCTGAAGAGAGTAGTCTTGAAGCTGGGTTCGTTCGTGATTCGGATATTGATGTACAAGATATTTGAAATCTACGCGTCTCGTCAGAGTCAGAGAGAGAGGAGGATGGGGTAACCTACACTATTTGACAAATGGACTAAGCTTCCATGGAAGACAATGGAAGGAAGTGGTTCACTGCTTCCATGGAAGTCAACTTGACTTCCATGGAAGTCACCGCGGCTTCCATGGACGTAAAAATGAAATCCATGGAAGCCAACCAGCTTCCATGGAAGTCAATTTTACTTCCGTGGAACTTGCTGGTCTGGATCGGGTAGCCAGCTTCCATGACGCTTCCATGGAAGCTCGTCGAGCTTCCATGCAAGCAACTTCCATGGAAGTAGGTGGCAGCGGTCGAAATCAACTTCCATGGAAGCATCGAAACGTCCATGAAAGCAACTTCCATGGAGGGCTGGACATGCGTTCACCCCAGCTTCCGTGGAAGCATTCTAGCTTCCATGGAAGCTGTCGACGAAGACTTCCATGGAAGCTGCGGGAATAACCTTGCATGGAAGGAAGTGGTGAACAACACCAAAGCTTCCATGGAAGTACACGCTAGGGACTTCCATGAAGTCTATAACATCCAGCTTCCATGGAAGTATATCCTGCCCTCCGAGCTTCCATGGAAGTCGCTCTCAATCCTCCCGAAGGACTGCCATGGAAGCTTGTTCGTGCCGTTTCCACGGGAACATGTCGAGGCCAACCTTCCATGGGAGTTTTCCAGCTCCCTCCATCCATGGAAGCGTTGTGTGTCAGGGATATCTACGTGTCCATGTGTGTGTGTGTACAGTAGCGAAGATCTATCACGACGGAAGCGCTGCAGCCAACTGTAGTAGTCCCCTAGTTACGACATGAAGATTGTGTGCACGCTACAAGGTATCAGCATCCACCAACAGTAGCTAGCAGACGCGTGGAGTTTTTATGTAGAGCAGATACCAAACGTCGTATGACACGCTCGCTCCCGTACAGGGCTGTCAGCGAACGGCAAGAATAGTCATCGGTGAAACCCCAAGGTATAGATAGGCGGTCGACCATTTAGTGTCCCCAACAGTCGACCATTTGGGGTCCCCAGCAGTAGTAGCAATTGGGATCGACAGCTGGCCCACGCGCCTCTCTCCCTCACCCTCATCTTCTACCATCAATCTCTGGTCTTTGAGTCAGACGTTAACAACGACATCAACCACAGCTCCCACGGGCGGCATCGAAAAAAATCGTAATGATTGACTCCCAAGCCTAAGTCAAAGAAAGGAAGATCGTTACAACCTTGTTCATTTCCCTGGAGGAAGCATTTCGTTATGTTTCTTACAGCGTTCGTTTGTGAAAAATTCATCTACAACGAGGTCCAGGTTTTCCGTGGATGAAGTGTTCCGCAGTATGCCATAAACGCGTGCTTTCTTGTTTCTTCCATGGAATAATATGATCTCACTTGGGAAATTGCGTGTGTGTGTGTTATTATTAGCATCGACCGCTCTCCTCACCGGCTGATCAATGAGAAGACTCCAGTTTCAGTGCGGCTGAAAACACAAAACACTTCAAAAGGCCATTTACTGGGACCCCGTGACGGGTCAGCATGGGGGAGGCTAAACTATCCTTCGGATCAAAGACAGAAACGGTAGCAACAGAATGAACTGCACGCGTCTACCAAGGCTATTACCTTGTACTCGGGGGCGTTTAAGAGTACTTTCACCTTACTTATCATTTCGTCAACAATATCTTGACAGTTCTTCCCTAGCCCTGCGTCTCTTTTTCTGGGGAAGGTCATGTGGCTCAAACCCTTTGCTCTCTTCCACTCCTCCATGTTTTCCTCCTCCATCGTCGTCTTTGTCCTCCGTCCTTCCCCGTGTGTGTGTGTGTAGATCAACAAAGCTTCATCGGCGTGGAGGTGATCATTTCCCACCAGTGGGACATGGACGAAGAATACACACGAAGAAGAGTACACCCGGCAGTGCGCTTCATCCCCGCGGCCTCACCGTGATGGGTGAAGCAGACTGGGCCACGGTTTCGTTCGCACGAGGGTAGGTTGGTTGAAGGGCAAGTGACTCGAAGACTGTCGGTAGCAGATGACGACAAACGCCCTCGTAGGGTAGCAGAAGATGGTGTGATCGGCAACGATCGAGGTAGGGGTGGAGGATTGGTGGATTTCGGGGGGGGAAGAAACGGGCTACTTTAGACCCCAATACATCGTCGGCGCAAATGTTGCCCGAATGGATATGACGTCACTCACACACCAACGCGCATTTCTGCCCGTGATCTATCGGTCTCCCTCTGACGACCAGCAGCTATCGCCCTGTGAAGCTATGGGCTGCTTAGGGACTCCCTCTCTCCGCGCGTTTGTCTGTGCAAAAAGTGAGTCTGTTTGCGCCTCTGCCCGTTGTCTGCCCGCTGTATGTTTGTCGCTGTGCCCGCTGAGCTGGTGTAGTCTCCTGAGCATGGGTTCTGCAGCTGCACTAGCTCCAATCAGCTGTGTGGTCACGCGCGGTTCCGAACCACTCAAAAAGCCATTGGTGGAAGTCGCGCAGCAAGCGGTTGGGTTCATTATACGGAAGTTGTGAAAGTGACGTTGAGTTCCACGGGAGCTGACCGGAGTGTATCACCTGTCTCGGTAAAAGTAGCGCGATACACAATTGGAGAAAGTGGAGGAAGCGCTAAAGTTCTTTTCACGGAAGTCGTGGACGTGAGGTTGACCTCCATGAAAGCTCGCGAGAACATCATCCGTCCAATAGTGTAGGGTGAAACGCCATCCGTAAAAGTGAAGGGAGCGCTTGGGGACAT